CCACCCATCGGTGCGTCAACCAGCAGCCCAGCTACCGCGACCTCAATCATCTTCAGTAATACTATTATTCGTTCGACAACGCGTAGTTAGGCGAGAGAGTGTACACTGTAGGTATTTAAAATGGCCCTTACTCCCAGCTCATTCGATTTCATGACTAAATTTTACAGTTTTCAATAATAACTTATTGGCTTCAGTCTTGCGAAATGCTGCGCAACTGCTCCTGTAGCTCAGCTGGTTAGAGCGGTGGTCTTATGAGCCGCAGGTCGAGGGTTCGAACCCCCCCTGGAGCACTTTATTGCACTTTTTAGAAAGACCCGCACTATGCAAAGATGCTATAGGAACGCATGACAATACTGTAATCAAAGAAATATTGTCTATTATTTTCCATATGGTTTAGAGCAGCTGGTATATAGGTATGCGACACAATTGTGACGTCACAACAAGTGGCGCTGTGGAGCTGCAGAGGGAGTCTACTTTTACGGTGTGCGATTGTGTAATACCGGTATTTTGAATGCACACCATCGTGTTTTGTAGTGAAATGCTTGAGAAGGCAAGGGGTGTAGACCGATGATTACGCGAATTAAATAAGAGAAAATGAGCTCAGACTTGGACAGAAACGCTCATGTCGGGCCAAAAGGCAACGTTCATGGCAATGTCCGCAGAGCTCGGTGGCGCTTGAAACTCCACAAACTCGGGCGCCAGCGGCCAAAGTTGTGCCGGCTCCATCGTGACCGGCGCGAGCACCATGGTTCGGTCCATCGCGAAATCCAGTGCCGAGGTATCGGGATAGTCGGACACGGGCAGTTGCATCCAGTTGGTCCAGTGCTGCTCCACGTTTTCTGCCTCCGTCAACGGCGTCATGTGGAGCATGGTCGAAAGGTCGCCGTCCTCAAAGTCGAAAAGGTCCATGGGCAGCTCGGTCGTCGCGGGCGCCGTGGCGCTGGATCTGGCGTCTTCCTTGCCCATGCGAGCCCAGCGGCTCTGACACTGGCGGTAACTAGTTGTAGGCGTAAGGCTAACGTGCCATCGGCGAGGGGTGCATCGTACGTACCAGCGGGTCTTGACGATTTCAGCCACCTTGAGCCACTTGCTCGTCTCGCGCATGGCAATACGGAGCCGGTCGTCTTCGTCGGCCGACCACGCGCCCTTGTTCTTGGACGGAACGCTAAACTCCGAGAGCCATTTTTGGCGGCAATCTTCGGGGCCATGGCCGGGAAAAGCGGCAGCCGCCTTCTTCCACGTCGTGAGGCTCGGTTGGACGGACTTGAGACGCACAAGCTAGTTCACAGAAGCATGATAAGTCGACTGGCGTGGCAAGGATCAATTTCCAACCTCCTTCTTCGTCCACTTGTTCGAGGCCATTGTTGTTGATAAGTGATAATGTGAAAGTGAGCATTTCGGTCGAAACGTTGAGCGATGCGAGCGAACGTCCAATAGTATGCAGCTGCCCTTATCGAATGCACCCACGCAGCAGCTGCGCCGCGTGAGTAAGTATCAATATGGCAAGCTATCAACTCGATATGGATGTGGCATCGGTGCATCCAAAGAGCCCTTGGAGCATCTGAAGAAGCCTCTATTAGCGCACGGCAGCGCCTATGAGGTACTACTTAGCTATACGGCAAGATTCAGCAGGCTCTGGTGGGATACGGCTTCTACGCTCTCTCAACCTTGCGAAGCGATTGTGGTGCGACATGAAGCAGAGAACTATTGCCAACTTGATAGTATATCAAGTGGCCAAGATGGGCTGAGCCATCTGCTATGAAGCTGTGAATTCATTGGCCACGTCCCGGGAGCTGGGTTGTTGAAGTATCGACTGGTTCCGAAAGCTGTCCAGTTATATCGTTCGCTTAGTCGGTATTGTATCAAGCTTGCACGCTTCGCGGCATCTGCGACACGAAGCGGTGTCTTGATTGAGGGGGATTGAGCCGGATAACACATCGTATCCGGTATTTCTTGGCGCGCAATCTCAAAGTCAAAAATCGCGCGAGGTTTGGAGCATTGAGATCTGCACGCTACGAAGATCTTGAGGCGACTGAACTACATACGGAGGTGCAAGCTCAAACCTCGCTCATGGTCCACATGTGTGTAAGCTTGCTCGTACGAGCAGGGGTCATTGTCGTCGACCGTGGGGAAGCAAATTGCACAGATCTTTCGCCGCCCAAGATATGGCTCTCCGATCACACCGGTACGTACAAGAGAAAGGGTCCATTTTCTACGAAAGAAGATGAAAGTTCCGCAACGCCATGACCACCACGTTGCGCGATTGGCCTCCGGTGTGCTCACAAAGCTTTGGTTATCGAGGTCGAGTCACGACAACCAACGATATCGGTCAGCGAGGGTTCGATACGAACATCGCTCCTCACGTGTCGAGACGAATGGATCCCAATGACCCTGCGCATCACCCGAGTTGCATTTGTGCCACCCCTAACGTTTACGCTTCACGACAACAAGAAAGTTCCGCGATGTAGGTTGTCGGTCCGCTTCCGTCCTACTTCCACCATAGCGCAAGCAGTGCGACGACCAACAGCGGTGCAGGCGCAGATCGGGGGCCATTCCTGACCTGGCACGTATTGCCGCTCTCCCACAGAAGCTACAGTATGGCAGCGAGGCCATACATTACAAGAGTAATCTATATCCTTGATGGCAGCCATACCTCTGCGGTAGACTCTACGAGACAAATGCCAGGGCGCACCAATGTACCAACGAAGTAAGAAATTGTACTTGGCCCACACAACCCCATTTTGAGAGCCCGCAACTGTGAGCTGAGTCGGAGTGTACTCCTGACCTTGATCATCTAAATATATCTCGCGTGGCCCATGCAATCGCCAGCGAGGGTCCGTCGCATCAAGATCAAGGCCCCGGACGACGTGGTCGAGGCAAAGCTCCGCGAGGCTGGGGACCCGCCACGCGTTCCGCTTGAGTCGATGACGTGGCGCCTCGCGACGCCGCCTCCGCAGCGCTACAACTACCGCCCGCATTTGCGCCAAGGCAAGGCCATCGCCAAGAAACGATGGCATGCTCATGTTGCGTAGGCGGGTCGGGCGGTACGCTTGATGACGCGCTCTACCTCTTTGGCGGATTCGAAGACAACGGCGAGCGGTCGAGCCGCCTCGTTCAGTACAGCTTTGCGACGCAGATGTGGCGCACGATCGAGTGCAGCGGAAACGTCCCGTCGCCTCGCTGCGGGCACGCCTGTGTGATCGATGCAGCAAAGAAGGAGCTCTGGCTCTTTGGCGGCCAAGGCCCCGAGGTCGGCCTCAACACCAAGAACCTCTACGACGACCTCTCGATCTTGGACCTTGCATCTTTCGTGTGGCGCCGCGCAGTCGTCTCGTGCGCCGGCGCTGACG